CATATCCAGAAACATCTTTCCTTCTTTGCTCCTATTTTCACTCCATGGGGAACAGTGCAACCTTTAAAGGCTTGTCTCCTTACTGAGACAAGACAACAACATCCAGATCTCTGGTTTAGGTTTACTCAGCAGAGTCCCCTGAGATCCTCTCAGCTAAAAACAGATGGTCAAGGACTGTGTACTTGGCATGTCTGCCTTGGTAGCCCACTGGGTTAACTCCTATCAGTGTATGAACAGCATTTACTGTGCATGTTTTCAGACGGAAGCAAAGACACAGTGCTAGCTGACATCCCATCAGATGCTAAGAATAGCAGGATCTGGCCTGGGGGTTGACCCCAAGAGGGGAGTTAGCATCTGAGAGTGTCAGATGCTGACAGCTAGCCTGCTGCCCTGAGCAGAGAAGTAACAGCACTGTGGCTGGGACTTTGCGACCTTGGTTACTTCAGAGGGAGCCCCCAGACATGTCAGTGGCAGTCCTCTGTTCCTGTGAAACAAGAGCTGACACTGCTACTGTGGATCTGTGGCAGGCTCAAACCGCTTTGGCCCGGCTTTATAAAAGGAAAGACGGCATCTTGATATCCAAATTAGCAATACACACACTAAGAAGACAAAACGAATACACACACACCCAAAGATTTTCACACCTACACAACTTTACGAATGCACACTCTATTTTTTCTCATATTCAGCATTCAAGGTTATTTCACTGTTCTCATCGGCAACTTTCTTTGAGTTGAGTATGGTTTAGAACTCAGTGGTGGTGTCTTGAAAAACCAGGACAGATTGCGGCAGATCACTCCATTAATACCACAAAAACATGGTAAAGTTCATCTGTTCTTGGTATACATTACTGTAAATAATCTCACCTGCTAGGCAGTAATATTTGCATGTTTTAGGGGAACAAAGATTTGGTGACTCCATAATAGACTAAATGACTAATTAAGATGGGAATTTTTTCCTTTGCACGTTGATGCAGAAATCCTCATCTCACTTTACGCTTCAAAGATGAATATGGTTTTTGTACCAAACATTAGGCAGAATGCAACTAGGATTCCTATTTGTACACTGGGCTATTAAATATTTCACAGTGGGCACAACCACTCCACAGTTTATTTTAATCAACTGTATTTTCTCCAAACTGGTTGCACTTGGTGCTGACAAAAACCAGCAGAAACAGTTAAAGGTTATGTGGATATAACACCTCACACAAATGACATTTAAGTCCACAAAGACCAACTAATAATGGCATAGTATTAAATAAGTGAATACTGTATATGCCTCACAAACTTTAAATCTTGATTCTTTTGTTGCTAAAAGTGGCAACAACTGTACACATACCTTCGATGACTTAATGACAAGTTTAACAAATCTGATTTACTAAACCAAGCGATTCTTTGCTTTAGGTAGGAGAAGAATTTGTTTTTACACCGCGAGGGATGGCGAGTGTCTTGATTTGGTCAATATTAATATTACTTTACTGCTGGTATTCTCCAACAGGGATGCTCTGTACCTCTGCCTCTGTGTAAACATCAAACTCAGATCAACGTGAAAGCCACTAAAACACTAAAATATCTAGGCAAACCTGAAAGATGCAACCCAAGGCTCTCACCTGTGCAACAAAGCATGTTTACAACATCGGAACACCATGTCCCTTTTATTCGTAGGATAATGATTAACTTGTTTCGATAAAGCTAGCTGCATCATTTAGCACATTAGACCTATTAAAAGTCAGTTCAAGTCTCACTCTGCAACAAGACTCAAACCTGTGTGTCTAGCATGAAGGTATCTGTGTCTCTCAATCATTTTCCATTGCATCTTCAGGTTGTGTTTTATACATCACTGTCAACATCACATTGCCATCTAATAATAAACAAGCACTGACTATATTTGAACTGCAAATTGGAAATGTAAAGTCTCCTTGCTGTTTCCTGGAAAGCTTCTTCGCATCTGAATGTCCCATTTCCAAACTCAAACAAATAACCATCCAGTGTTTGCCTGTGTGCCGAAGTGAATCTTTGAAATTATTTACTGACTCACCCTGTCATTAATGTGAATACACTTCAAACTTCCAAGCAATAACTCAGCTCTCTCTTGAGAAGAGGCACAAAATCATAAAAAAGCACATAACCTTGTTAAAAATAATGAGCAGAAATGCCACACAGCCTAATAAAATCTGTAGGAGCACTACGAGCACTGGGCTTCATTTGAAATGACTATTTGCAGAGAACAGTGACACTTAAAAGCCCATAATAGCACTAAATCTTGGGTGTGCCATTTGAGCTACAACCTTCTCCGACTGCAATGTCTGATTTTAACCTGCAGCCCTCTGTCAGGACTGCACTGAGTCAGTATAAAACTGCCACGTTTAGGTAAGCTGCCCAAGCGAGAAATTTGTTAATTAACAGTAAGCCCGACTCAACACTTTCTGTGGTGAATGGAACTCATATCTAAATTGTTACTTACAAACCTGTCACAGAATGATTATGAGCTATTTTTCTACCCTTCTGACTGAGTGAACATTGCAGCTGTACAGTTTAAGCCCTCAAAACACTTGCTACACTGTTGGTAACATTATATAACATACTAACCGCAAGAATGCATTTGAATCCAAGATGTGAGAGGAAGTGAATGGCTACTGAAAGTAAATGATGAAAAGGCAGCTTTTATATTAGAGCCAGTGTTACCATCGACCAACTTTCCATGGAATCACATCATGGAACTCCCTCAGCATCATCGCCAACTCATCATCATCCTGCCTTGAAGAGGATAGATACAAAAACAGAATGCTAAAGAAAGCCAAAAATTACTATGTGCTAGAAATTTAAACAAATGCACTGTGTAAAACAGTAGGTGACAACATAATTCGACATCACTACTGGGTAAGGGATGTGTCGTGTTGTTCTTTGTTCAGCTGTGAGACCAAAATACTCAGAATTGGTCTTTTGCCAAGCTAGCAGATGGAACAAAAGCAGCAGGCAGCTAAAGCAGCTCACCTACCATAACTCCATCCCATGATCTGCTAGCTCTAAGTCGGAGGATGCTGTTATAGGGCAAAATTTGGTTCCTTAATTACACTGTCTCACTATATTCTGTGTAATTCTCTGGAAAGCAGCACTTGAGTTGAGGCAACAAAAAATAATGAATCAATGAGTATATGTTTTTATTAGCTTTTATAATAACTGATATACTGTATATAAAAGTAATGTATGTAATAATAATGATACAGAGGCTTGACATTGTGTTTTCCTCCAAGGATTTTACTTTCAACACTTTACACATCATCTCTAGCATCAGGTTTATGGTCCCAGCTTATGAACAGGGGCTGATGTGGTTAGACAGCCCCAGTGGTGAGCTGCATGTCTACACAGAGTAGTGAGAATCAACGACAGCTGACAGGCTGCGGTCACGACTGACAGAGGGTTGGAGTCATGAGGTCTGAGGGACACACAGGGTCAACATGTGGGAAAATAACAGGAACATACACCATTCTTCACCATCAAGAATATATCTAAGCATTAAGCTTCCCTCATAGCCATTTTGTGTGGTTATTATATACAACTTGGACAGAGGTTTGTGATATGATACATTTATAACTAATATGAAACCAATATGGAAGGCTCTACTGGCAGTGGCAAGCAAGAAAATGTTTACAGTTATTTTGTTAATTTTTTTTCATAGAATGGATCCATGTGTTGTCTTGTCTGTGTGGTGGGTCACTTAGTCTGGGTGTCAATAGCAAGTTAGTTTTCTGTGATAGTCTTGAAGTAGCCTCATGATATTTGTACACTGACAACAATAATAAAACTACAAAAGAAGTTCAATACTTCATTTTCAATTATTGGAAGATTACTAAATATTGAACAAAATACTATTAGCAGTGGAAGTATGAGTGGCATTAAACCTAAAACACAAGCCACTGATTTGAAAAATCACCAGTGAAAGTGACCCTTTGTTTCAGAAGAAAGACTCTGCTGTCTGTGTGGCATCTGGTGGTGATAATGGATTATAATGCTTTGATAAACTACATGATTATTAAGGCACGCTAATGGAGAGAAAATTGCCTGGAGCAGCGAAGATGCCACTTGGAGACAATAAATCCTTTTGTTTTTTGTTGTTTGTAGGCTACATTGTTTTTAATCTTACAAACTCCAGTAGCTGGATTGCACACAATGATGGTAATTCTCCTAATTGTGGGTGAAAAGAGAAGGAGAGAAGTATGGGTCTTCTTTACCCTGAATGATCCCAGCAAGGGGTGTCATTCAGGATAAAGATTAGAGAGCTAAAACAATTAGTCGATTAATAGATCTTTTGATCAATGCACATTTATTCTGTTAATTTTTAATTAGGGAAAACAGTGTCAAGCACAAATGCCATTATTCCTTAAGTCCCAGTTCATATTAATTAATTAATCTAAAATATTCTGCCCCATTAATCGTTTACCACAATTAACTGCCATTGAATTCTAAACAAAATAATGCTAATGCTAACATAGTATATTGTCATAACACTGTAAGTTAGCTAGCTAGTAGTTTGTGTAGGAAAGCATCTCGGCCACAATAGCAGCGGTGTGACGACAAGTGGAGCAGGAGAGTGGAGACGAGACTATGGCTGGTATCCTATTGTGAACACGTTTATACCAAGTCAATAATAACGTTAAGTACAAAGTAAAATGTATGTATCACTGAAGTTTCCTAGCCACAAGGCCAAGGACAAGAATAATTTTAAGCAGTGAAATGAAACCTTGAAAAATGACGCCCAGATGTCTTATTCATAAGTTAATAACTGTACGTTGTTTCTACCATTACTGCGTATTTGATGACAGCCGTTAAATAACATCTTAAATAGTTAGCAAGAAACAATGTAAGCTAGCTAGTGTCTCTGTAAATCACAGCAGAGGCTCAAACATCTGCCAGGCTAAAGAAGATACCATTAAATCCTGCTGTCATAACGTTACAGAGGAAAAATATTTTGGCGTTTACAACAAAGACAAGCCGACTCACCATAGTAAGAGGAGGAGCTGTCCGTCTTTCTAGCCATGGCACTTGGTAGGACAGATGCAGCACCGTCGTCTTGGTTGTGGAGACCGCATATGAGAGTCGAGGTGAACCGCAGTTGTTTTATTGGCGTTCAGCCGTCCCGTCGACAAATAAACACAGGAACCTGGAGAGGTCTTGGGTTCTTGGTCTGAGGATGCTTCGGCCACGCAGCTGAGCGTCAGTCGTGTTTACAGCGCGACGTCATTAATTATTCCAAAACTGGCTTAAAGGAGACGCTCGGCTCCGTGGCTGCTGCTGCTGAGTGTCCCGTTTCCCTTTGTTAGGAAGTGATGCACAGCGCATAGCCATATCTTTTTGTGCAGTCTGTTAGCTGACGGGAGCGTATATAAGCGGCGAAAACGGAGAGATCAATACTCTGTCTACGTCTACGACGAGAGTGATGATTTTCAATTAGCCTTTAGGTTGATTGAAAATAGAGCCAATATTGCACCTAGTGTTTTCAGGTGACAGTGACCTCTCTGGTGGAGAAAGACCGACCTCACGTGGATTTTCTTTGACATTGCAGACATTTCATTTTTTTCTGCTGTCAACTTGCAAACAGTGTGTGTGCTGCTGCTGCTGCTGCTGGGAAGGGGATATCTACTGTAGCTACATGGAAAGGGTATGTATGAAGTCTTTCAAAGCATAAAGTTAAAGTGTAAGGGATTGCACCATGAGACATTAATGATGAACTCGGAGGCATTCCTTTTTATTTTTTAACTTCTGTTTTACTTTTTAACTTTTCTGTCGTCTTCTGTCAGGTTGTCTGAAGTCATCACGTTTGTGAAGTCTGAGTGAAGCCCAGATCATATGATTTGATTTTATTCATGAGGCAAAACTACCTCATGAGTGGCTGATGTAAATATCCCTTCACTTATTCTGGCTGATCAGAACTCTTCTCATTTTGAGGTTGGTGGAGCTATGTGTGAATCACATAAGATCACCAAATTTCAAGACCTAATAATAATGATAATGGTGTAATTTCTCCCACTCAAAAACATGTACCAAAACTAAAAGCAGGCTTAGAGAGATGCCAGTCAAGCCGTCTTTACATCCCACACAGTTCTGAGAAGGAATCTAATTAGATAAATTAAATGAAAACACAAGTGTGCATGGTCTGTAGCTATAAAGGACCTTTAAGATCAAGTAAAGAAAATATTTAACTCAGAGATTATGCTTTTTCTTTTGAATGACAATCAACATTTTATTCATTTAATAGAAGACTTGACTACAAATGACACAGACGATTCTTATTAAACACTGGCATCTCAAAGTGATGTCTCTCTTAGTGCTCCATAGGTGAAATTAATGTCAGCTCAGGTTGCCAAAGGCGAGTCATTAAAGGGGATTGTCCTCCACGGGACAAATCATATTTTGATGTGTTGGGATCATTGCCAGTAGCACACTGAATCTGAATGGAGGATCTGAATCACATTATTGCCAAGTGCAATACATTCACTGTGGAACAATTTTTCTAAGCAGCACTGGTCTAGGACAGTAGTTGTAGCTTTATGGTCTAAAACTGCTTAAAAGAAAGAACACAGAGACTCTAACTGCCTGCCTGGGACCCACTGGTGTGTTTAATACAAAAGTAGTGAAACAATATTACACAATAAAAGAGAAAGGGTCACCGCAACAAAACTTGTGATTACCACAGCATTGTCTCTCAGTCCTGTGCTTTTCAGTGGATTTGTAATGCATCTTTTTGGCTTGTGTTTATCAGCGTCTGATGCAGGTCAGTATGATGCTATGAATATATTGATACCACACTAATATGGACCACAAAATGTTATAGCCCATTTGAAAGCATACCATCCCTTGTTAGAGCTCAATGGTATTCATGTCTAATGTTTTCATATAAGATATTTTTTGTGCAGTCCTACCATAATTGTTACATTAAGGGAGAAAAGAGATTGCTTTTCTTTTTTCAACTCAATTTTAATGAGTGGGGCTGAACTCTACAGCATTACGTTAGAACATGTTACAAGGTCAAGCAAGCCATTGGTTCATTGCCAGCACTGGGAAGGTTCTCTAATCCTGCAAGGACCAGACAATGACAATGACACATTTCACTGATGAATTGTGTTCCCCTCTAAAAATGACTGTATTTTCCAGTGTTGCCAGCCCATCTGGTTGTCATTCTGGGAAAATGATGGATGCCAACAGTTTGCTAATTACATAATCGAGAGGGTACACAACAGATGTGGGCACATTTTGTGCTGTTTTGGTTTGCAGCTCTTTTCCATTTTATGAAACAAAAGGTAATTTCCTTCTCTGTGGCAGTTGTCCTTCTGCAGCTTGGATTGTGAATGAGTCTGCTTTTTATAATCAGTCAGAAGGAGATGCTCTCAACACAATCACCTTTTGTGTTACAAGTGGTTACAATTGCTGCAGTTACAATCAACCCTGCCGACTGCTTAAAACTGAAATTCACCATGTCCCAACAAAAAAAGTGATTCTGTAATACTGTACTCCATTGGCATCACTACATAAATGAACAATAGAGATACAGAGTGCAATAGTTGACTGAAGGTTTTTTTTCCCAATCAACTGGATATACACAGCAACTCTGAGAAACATATATTGCACACTGGGTAACAGGAAATGGCATCTGTGACTGGTGGGGATGCCAGCTGAGTCAGGGATCTGTCTGTAAGCAGAGGCAATTTGAAATCTGAAAATTCAGGGTATATGGCTTGTAGCTGCCTTCAGCTGGGGTCAGGGTCATAATTGCACTGTATTTGCCTGGACGATAGAATAGAAAACATGTCCATCACCTCACCACCACCTGCACCTTTGTTTTCTGAAGGTTTCTTTACAAATTTATATTGCTATTTGATTTAATTTGGCAAACTGTTTATCAGGCTAATAGTGCACATTTAATAAAAATGTGTCTAATTAATATAGTCCATATGACTATATAACACTACTATATTACTTTTGATAAGAAGGATAATCACCTTTATTGGCCAAGTATGTTACACACAAGGAATTTGTTTCCGATACAGAACCAATGACAGCCATTTAGAAGTGTCATACAATGGTCTGATGTTTTTGAGGCATTTTCAGCCTGCCAATAAGTTAATTCAGGTGAAAACAATGTTTTGTATCTTTCATCAATCTTCAAAATTATATATATAATATATGGATATATACAATTGATTTGTATATATAATAAAAATATATACAAATCAATTCTTTATTACTAAATCTTTCTTATTAGCCAGATTTCCTCTGTGGTATCTGAAAACATGGTATAAAATAAACTGTTCAACTGTAACATGACTTTTAGTCTTTGCTGAATTTCTTGAGTGACACCCAGAGGCATCTACTCTTCAATGGGACCGTAACATAAATAAAAACAAACTGCTTTTGGTGCAGCAAACAGGTGCGACGAGAGCAAATTATTTCACACTTGTGTTTGGCTCAACTCAGGCAGACAACCGTCTGGCACTTCAATGGATAGGAGGTTGGAGTTAATTAAAAAAAGGTTTTGTTCCACAGGCATTTGCTTTGCTCTTGTCAGTGTGTGCACCCTGGAGCTGTGTTTTGAGATGCATTTGAGAGTAATGAAAACACACAGGCTGCCAGCATCTAATCCTCTGAATTCACAATGCCAAAGTGCATTATGAGGCACTGCTCTGCGGTAATACAGATAATTTGGTGATTAAGATTGTTCTGCAAATGATATGGCCATATGGTATAAAACAAAATAGTGATGAAGCAGAAAAATGGGAACGGCCATTTAAAACTGATATGAAAAGAATGAAAATTACATACTGCATATCTTCTGGACATTATCTATATTCCTAGAATGCTGCCACATCATAGTTGTGTAAGGATGTATGACTCTGATCTACACAGACTGCAATGGCTCATCCAATTCTCACATATTCTACAGTAGCATAGTTCAGCTGGTGCAAGCTGGTGTTTTCTATAACAAGAGCTTAAATAAGGCATAGTGTTGTCTCCATTTTAGCAACCTTACACAGGTGTCTATTTATATGCAGGACTGAATTTTAAATTGTATTGATCTCTGTCAAACCAACAAACGATGTGGCTCTAAAACAGGCTCTATTTCAGAGCAGCTGTTAAATAACTGTCACAATCCGCTAAATGTAAGACTAGAGATGATCTAGCCACTGTGCATAAGAGTCCCAAATGTTTGAACAAATACATTGTTCTTGCTGCAGGATTGTTTTTACCATAAAAACCATATGAAAATTCAGTTTTTTTTGTCCATGTCTTAAAATCGTATTTTATGTTTATACTGTATGTGTTGGTTTTCCCACTCAAATTAATAATTAAAAACTATCCACCCATTTTACCTTGTGTTTGCATTTTATTGTATCATATGGCCTTTTGTTTTAGGTTGTGTCATCATGCCACTTCATATTCTGTATGAATCACTGTATCTTTGAAACTTTGTGTAGCCTTCAGACACAAAGCTAATTAGACGAGGCAAACACAGAAACTGTTTATAGTGGCCAAAAACAAAAGGGAAGTTCCTACTGTAGCTTTTAAGTAGGATATCAAGCTTTTTCTTAAAGCATCTGCTCTGACTGCAATATTCTGTTGTTTTTAAGATAAATTAGTCATCACTTCTCACAAAGCCAACAGATACATCTCTGTTTGTGAAGTGAGACTTCCTGAGGAATGACTACAGAACATGAAAGGCAAAACAATGAACACAATAACACCAGCTCAGGGGGCATCTGTAAAAAGATCCATTCCCTATTTCCCAGCTCCTCCTGACTAAATTACAGCTTCCAGCAAATCTGTCTCCCATGAGGAGCTTTAGCTGCTCAGGTTGCCATGACAAATGAGAAAAATAGTTTCCTATCTATAAATGGTACTTTCAAACATTTGCTTGAAAACAATTATGATGCAGTGTACCTCAAACATGTACCAGTATATTCAACAGTAATCGTATGATATGTTTTAGCAGGATGTAATAAAAGTACCAAACAGAAAAGATAAGGCAGCTACATAAAATGTTTTCATAATATCATGAGCAAATTTTAAGAAACACTGTTACTGTTAGAAAACATAAAGAACAATTGGACTTTAACATTGGTTTATATTGTGTAGGGCAAAACTTCATTTAATCTACAAAAGGTTGGGTCTCACTCAAAACAGTTACCCCTTTGTTAAAGGAAAGAAATGGATAATATGTGTCCTCTGGCATTCTGTTTCTGTACTTAACTTCTTTATCATTAAATGTCCTCTGCAGGGTGTGCGCCAGTTAGCTTACTGAGGTATCGCACTGCTCAGCCTCCCCAGGATGCCAGGGTGCTGCAAAGAAGGCCTCTGACCAACCCTTAAACCTCAGATTCAGGAGGAACAATGCCAATCCCATACTAGAATCAGTGCCTCCAAGTCTGAAAACTGAATAGAGCCACTCAGATTAGGAGTGAGTGCCTGCCCCAAATGAAGTATCTCAGGGTCTTGCTCATGAGTTAGGCTAGAAAGGAGTGTGAGGCTGACAGACAGATTGGTGCAGCATCAGCAGTAATGCAGGCATTGTACCAGACTGCTGTGGTGAAGAAGGAGCTGAGTCTGAAGTCAAAGCTTTCATCTATTTTCCAGTCCTCACCTATTATATATATATTATATATGTTTCCTCTATATGTCTGGTTTCAACCTTCGAGATAAGGTGTTGAATTCAGACATTCTTAAGCTCAAAGAAGAATTGCTGTTCCTACACATTGAAATAAGACAGTTAAGGTGGTTCATACCATTGAAGGTTTTCTGGGCATATCCACTTGCTAGGAGGCCCCAGCTTAGACCCAGAACATGCCGAAGGGATCTCATCTTACCTGGGAACGCCTCTGGGTCCCCCAGAAGGAGCTGGAGAATGTTGCTGGGGAGAGGGACATTGGGACTGCCTTACTCAACCTGCTGCCTCCTCAACCCAACCCTGGATAAGCAAATGATAATGGATGGTTGGATGGATGGATGGATATCCTCTGCAGCCATTGTAGGCCTAAAGAAAATAAATTAATTATTTAAAGAAATAGGGAAGTGAAACCTGTGATAAAATTGCGATGTAAAGATCAATTTCTTAATACAAACGTTGGGAAAAATGTTGAAATAAATGAAAAATAAAGTGTACATTTTGTCCTCCACTTAAAAACTTCTGCTTATTTTGCCACTAAACTTTGTTCACCTACACAATAACGTGATGGTTTGCTGATAATACTGGATGAACTTGCATTAACCTACTGTCAGTTCTTCTTGAGGCATTAGGACAACAAACCAGTGAGCAAATTTTGTGAACACTCATGTTTGAAAGGTTGTGATTATTTGGATAGACTGCAAGATTGTAAATTTAGACAATGAGAACACTGATGACACATTATGACACATTGGAGAATAATGCATTCCATTAGGAAAACAACCCAAACCATTTAGATTTCTGCCCAATGAAGACAACTGCGATCTGTTCGAAAGCAATGAAAACTGGATATACTGTTGTGAGATGATGACGACCTATTTCACAAAGTGTACCAAGAATAATGTGGCTTGATAATTAGGCCAAGAAAATCCGCAGGCTATATTAATAATGGTTTTAACGGTTTTGGTTACAGATACATTCAAATGTGTAATACAGTAATATAATATAAACATCCGAGAAGCGCAGGGTTATTATTAAGTGTTGTACAATTTTACAGTTCGACTGTGTGTAATTTCCATCTCTTGAACCCCCCCTGTGAACCCAGACTCTGAGCTAAGCTGGTAAGATGAGTTGTTTAGGACCATGAGACGCGCAGTGCTGACCGGGTGTCCCTGTA